GATCATTAGTATATTAACCAAGAGCAAAGGATAAGATGTTCAAATAAATCATGCATTTCACTATATAATCAATCCCCACCCTAAAACAACAACCCCTGACCCTGGGGCCATAAAATTCACAATTTTGGTAGAGGCACTCTTGCTCATCATAACTATGTAGTTAGTTAGTTTATTTAATACCCAAGAGCAGAGAAGAAGATTTTTCAAAGAATTCATGTATTTTCACTATATAATCAATAGAGCCCCGCCCTAACACCAGAACCCCTGATCCCAGGGCCATGAATTTCACAATTTTGGTAGAGGACTCATTGCTGATTACAATCATGCAAACAGTTTGACTGCTTGATGTCCAGGGGCTCGTTTCTCAAAAAGTCGTAGATTTGGGCCTAAGTTAGTCCGACTAAGAAAGTTACGCCAAAATTTAGTCGGGCCTAAATCACGTTTCAGAAAACGGTGTAAGACTGGGCCTTAAGACTAAGACCTTTCCGCTAGGTACTAAGCATGCGCAGATCATATTTTATTTGGTTTAGAGAGTTCAATAGCATGCGGTGGATCACACTTAAACCTGATTATAAAAAGTAAAGCACAAGAAGCACGAATTTTCCCTGGCTTTTCATCGTCTTTCAAACAAATATAATACACGAATCTATCTGTATTTTCAAGGTCAAAGCATTTACATACTAGCTAGTATTAGCGGATTCAGAAATCTTGACAAAAGGGCCAGATTGGGGTTGGGTTAGGGGCCCACTGTCACACAAAAAATTGATTGAGCAAATCTTTTATCATTTTGGACACAACCCCCTCCCCCTCTACAACCACAACTTTTATATTAAATAGTTATATGTATTTTGGTATGTTCCAATATATTTTAAAAGTGAAATATATACTATAGAAAAATATAAACGTGTATAACCGGTATTATACGTACTTGCGAAAATTTGGAATAAAACGAAATTTTCCTATGAGTAAAAGCCATAAATTATATGGCATGGGGTTGGAACAGGCTCGTAGCAGTATATTTGAAAGTTGTGAGGGGTGTAACCAGTATCTCAGGGAAGTTTTTCTCTAGTTAAAATACTTTACGCAGAGAGAGTGAAGGACCGGAGCCCCCAACCCATACACTGTAGGCGCACTGTGAAAATTTAACAATTTTGAAATCATATCATAATGATAATCATTAAAACATGGATAAGAGAATTTTGAAGAAATATTATCTGCTAGTTGTCTTCATTTTATAATATCAGTCTATTTATTCGAATTAGACATATTGGCATTTCAGTTGATACATGTACATGTATATACCTACTGTGTATATTTATATTTAGTATTGTATTTTGGACACATAATATTACACTGATATCGATCTAATAATTTACATGGTCCATGTAAAAATACATACCTATATATAGCAATTGCAGTATCAATGATGGCTTGCAAAAGCTAAATTAGTTTTAAATCTATAATTCTTGTGAAACATATTACAGACAAGAAATCTAGTACTTGAGTAATTTTATAAATTTCTCCATTTGAATTTTCCATTTCAATATTTTCAAATCAGATTCATTTAGATCAGGAAAGGTACTAATTTCTACACAACCTGCCTATGTTTTACTGTGAGTACCTTTGAGGAATGTTAACCTGGGTAGAACTCACGTGACTATCAGTATTTTAAATAATTTATTCTACACAAGGGTTCAACATGGGTCATACAGGTAAATAGCTCTCACTTGCCATAGGAAAAGCATTGTACTTTTTATACATTTTTAATATTTTAAGTACCAGCCTAATCATGTGCAAATTTCATACTTTCATACAAGTTTTATAAATGTATTATGCGTCTTTTGTCATTCGCACTAGTTTGCACAATGTTACGCTCATAGTAAACAAAAGTTTTGAAATGAATGACCCTTCTCGATTTACTATAGAAAATCACAAATGTCAGCTGACCCCTGCAACATTGTATGGTTTTGTTCCTTGTATAAATCGTGAATTTCAGTGGTAAAATTTGTTTAATTGTATGGTTTAGATATCAATTAATGATTTGAGATGATAAATTACTTGTCACTGAAGCACAAAATAATTTATTAATGACGTAAGTGATAGGCACAATGGTATAGCTTAGGTAAGGAGACCGGTTTATTTCTTTGCAAATGGTTAATAAAAGTAACTTTCCATATTTTTTCTGTTCTTATCTTAGAATTTATTTTTATAAAATCAACATGTCCAAATTATCCTCTTTAACAATAATTTACATGAATTTTTTTAGGCCATTAGTATACATTTTGTTTCTGTTGATAATTAATTAATACAGTCCCTGAAATGTTCTACTTTCCCATTTTTCCGTTTGTTCAGCTTGCGTTCACTGTTCATTCAGTGTGCGTTCTCCGTTCGCTCTCCGTTCACAGTTTTGCATTCACCATTCACCGTGCGCTCACATTCACCGTTCACACAACGTTCATCGTTTGCTCTTTGTTCCGTTTACTTTGCGTTCACCTTGCGTTCAGCATTCACTTATCGTTCAGTTTTTATTGTCATTGGAAACTCCGAAGTGAAAGGACTTATCTTTTTGATGGTAAGGATTTACTCGTTTTTAATTTAATAACTAAGATATTGTGGTTGAAGAATAATTATTTCATAGCAAAAATTATCTACGATATTTATATTTTTATATTTATGACTTAGCTGTTACGTTATTCATTAAATTTCTCAGGAAAATACAGATTGTTATGAGCACTTTGAGTACCTACATGTATGTAGAAAAATAAGTAGTACAAATACTTCAAGCACGGCAACATTTTGTTGTTATGTAAAAGACGACAAATCATTAATCGATGAATAGTCTATTAATTTACCAATCGGTGCACATATTCGGGAAAAAATTATTTCTAACACGTATTTATAAATGATGCAAGAAAACATGTTAGAACTAGTTCCAAGAATTATAAACAGTATGGTGGATATTCAGTTAATTAAATATCTTTAGAGCGAATTAAATTGATAGTGTGTTCTTAAAAAAAAAGATCAATTGTTTAAAATTCAGTACATTATTATTGTTCTACTTTACGTATATAAAGTCTATAATTAAAGAGGGAGATTTCATTCCTTCACAGTAACTAAATATATGTTTGACATTCAGTATGATTAAGAGCCCCCCCCCCCTTCCTTCGATGTCTTTTCCCCTAAATCGAATACTTAGTATTTAAAGTATATTTAAATTCAAATTTAATTGTATTGTAACACACAAATTTCAGACTTTAAACAAACATCAAAGCAGTCATGAAACAATAGCAGTTCAAATTATATATGTGCTGACAGTGGTATTTTAAATTGGTAAGGAGTATCTTTCAAATTCAATTTCATACTTAATCCTTCCGAGGATATATTCCCCATATTTTTTATTAATTTTTTTTTCTTCAGTAATGGAAATCAGATCTGGAAATTATAGGAAAAACTAGAAATAAGTCCATAGGACATGCCCCGCCGAGGTTATATCAGTAATGCAACATGAATATTCAAATCTGTGTATGAAATTTCAGAATATCTTGAATAGTGATGCAGTTGAATTGCTTACATCAGTATGTATCAGCATACAAAGTTTAACATTAATTAAAGAAAAGTGAGGTCAAGGTCAAAGGTAAGGTCAAGGTAAAAAAATATGTTAATGCAGTTGAAAAGCTTTCATCAGTATGTATCAGCATATATGAAGTTGAAAAAATATTAATGGTTTCTTTGAAACTGACTTAATCACAATTTGATAAAAGTGAGGTCAAGGTCAAATGAAAGGTCAAGGTCAAAAATGTTGATGCAGATGAATTGCTTACATCAGTATGTATCAGCATATGAAGTTTGACACTAACTTATGAAGTGAGGTCAATGTCAAAGGAAAGGTCAAGGTCAAATGTTGATGCAGTTGAAAAGCTCTCATCAGTATGTATCAATATATGAAGTTTGATAAAAAATATCTTGAATGGTATCTTTAAAACTGAGCTAAACACTCATTTAAGAAAAGTGAGGTCAAACGTCAAAGAAAGGTCAGGTCAAAAATTGTTGATGCAGTTGAATAGCTCTCATCAGTATGTATCAGCATATGAAGCTTGATATCACTATCTTGAATGGCATCTTTAAAACTGAGCTAAACACTCATTTAATAAAAGTGAGGTCATGGTCAAAGGAAAGGTCAAGGTCAAAAATATTGATGCAGTTGAATAGCTCTCATCAGTATGTATCAGCATATTAAGTTTGATAACGCTTTTATATGTTATCTTTAAAACTGAGCTAAACACTCATTTAAGAATAGTGAGGTCAAGGTCAAATTTTGATGCAGTTGAATAGCTCTCATCAGTATGTATCAATGTATCAGCATATGAAGTTTGATAACACTATCTTGAATGGTGTCTTTAAAACTGAGCTAAACAAATATTGATGCAGTTGAATAGCTCTCATCAGTATGTATCAGCATATGAAGTTTGATAACATTATATTGAATGGTACCTTTAAAACTGAGCTAAACACTCATTTAAGAAAAGTGAGGTCAAGGTCAAAGGAAAGGTCAAGGTCAAAAAATGTTGATGCAGTTAAATAGCTCTCATCAATATCTATCATCCTACAAAGTTTGATGAAAATATCTTGGATAGTTTCTTTGTTATAGCCAAGGTTAGTTTTTTAACAGTAGGTCAATCTCCAGGGTCAAGGTCAAAAGATAGTACCCAAAGAAAGAATTCTGTTGTCACAACGAATACACCTGTGAAATATGAAAGCCAAATTAAGTCCAACCCAGACAAAAGTTATAGGCAAGGTTAACGTTTTTGTCAACAGACAGACAGACGGGTGGACAGGGCAAAAACTATATACCCCTGAAACTTCGCTTACAGGGGTATATACATGAACATTAAAATTCCCAGATTACAGTAAGCAACCAACGTTTTACCAAATAAAATTGGTTTTATTCAAACTCCTTTAAATTTATATCTCAACAATTGACAGTGTCTAATATTGTTTACCTCTTGCTGGTGACGAATTTGCTTTATCTGATCCTCGTTCAATGAATCACTACCAACCATTTTCCTTGCAAAGTCCTGCAAAGTCACTTGAGGTGGCCTAGCTTTAACAACTATAAGAAAAACAAGAGGCCCATGGGCACATCGCTCACCTGAGCACTGTAGCTTGGAAAAAAGCAGAAATCAGTTTATTATTGAAAAGTTTAAACCCAAAAGTGTTCCCAACCAATCCTTAAAGGGGAGAGGGTATGATTTGATTAAACTTGAATCTACACTAACTAAGGATGCTTGCATATTTCTTAGACTACCTGTTGCTTTATTGCCCTTTACATCTGAACTTACATTGTGGCCCCGCCCTACCCCAAGGGATCATGACTTGAACAAACTTGAATATACACTACCTGAGAATGCTTCCATATGAATATGACTAATCATGGCTTTGCCATTCTTAAAAAGATTGTTATAATTTTTCTACATATTTCTATGTTAAACTTGGATTCCACGTTGTGGCCCCGCCCTACCCCCAGGGGTCAAGATTTGAACAAACTTGAATCTACATATCTAAGGATGCTTCCATATAAATACGACTAATCATGCCTTTGCTATTCTAGAGAAGAAGATTTCTAAAGAATTTTCCTATATATTTCTATGTAAAACTTTGATCGGCCATTGCGGCCCCGCCCTACCCCCTGGGGGTCATGATTTGAACAAACATGAATCTACGCTACCTTAGGATGCTTCCATATAAATATGATCATTCATGCCTTTGCTATTCTTGAGAAGAAGATTTTTTAAAGAATTTTCCTATATATTTCTATGTAAAACTTTAATCGGCCATTGTGGCCTCGCCCTACCTCCAGGGGTCATGATTTGAACAACTTCAATCTACACTACCTGAGGATGCTTCCATATAAGTATGATCATTCATGCCTTTGCTATTCTTGAGAAGATTTTCAAAGAATTTCCCTATATATTTCGATGTAAACTTTGATCGGCATTGTGGCCCCGCCGTATGCCCGGGGTCATGATTTGAACAAACTTCAATCTACACTACCTGAGGATGCTTCCCTATTAGTTTCAAGTTTCCTGGCACTGTGGTTCTTGAGAAGAAGATTTTCAAAACATACCACCAAATTTTCACTATTTCTGAATTATCTCCCCTTGAATAAGGACGTGACCCTTCATTTGAACAAACTTGAATCCCCTTTACCTAAGGATACTTTGTGGCAAGTTTGGTTGAAATTGGCTCAGTGGTTCTTGAGAAGAAGATGAAAATGTAAAAAGTTTACAATGACAATGACAACGCCAACGACAACGACGGACAAATTTTGATCAGAAAAGCTCACTTCGGCTCAGGTAAAATAAAACTGTCAGTTCTTTGTTGAAAAAAAATGTGATAAAACTCATACTTATCTTAAATTTTTAATAATTTATCCCTATATTAAATAAGCCTTTCTATTACTATTAAAGCTAAGAATATTCAATAAAGTTAGCTACATAGTACAAAGAATAGTATATATTTTCTTTAAGTCCATAGTTTACCCTCATGTTTTTTAAGTCCATTTGGTTTATACTTGTCGTCCATATTGCCTTTAATTCTGTATTTAATTTTGTTACAAATTTGTAATCAACTATTTTAATGACAGAAAAATAGAACATTTATAAACTTCTGTGATTCATATTTGTGGTTGAAGAACTTTTTATAAGCTTTAATTGAAGCAAAATGACATTGTCGTCCTGTACATTATTGATTTCTTATATAATGCTATATATTCAATTGTACAGAAATATTTCCTCTGAAACAATTCAAATTGGTATTTTGTAGGGATGTCAAATCGGTCAATTTTCAGTACTCGGTTACTCGGACGTTTTTCCGATCGAGTACCCGGGTACTCGGTAAAAGTGTAAATAAATATGAACAAGTAAATTGAAGACTGTAAAATATTGTAAACTCTTGTAGAAATAAAACCAGATGCACTGATAGCTAGGAGGCTTATCCGTAAATGTATTTCTGTTGTAATAATGATGAGCGCTTCGTGCCCGATGAAATTTAATATAACAATTTTTAAATTCAATTTATTTATCAGATAAACACAGGAAATAAAATCATAAGTTGTTCACATTGTTTTTGTTAAAAAAAAAAAATCTGCTCCGTAATTGTAGTTTGATGCAACGATGGACATCAGTTTTTTTCAAAGCCTTTGCCTTCAACCAGTTGCATTGGCATGTAATCAAACACAACCATATCAACAATCGCACGTGTAATATCATCCGCTTTTTTCCCGAGAATTTACGGCTTCTCGGAGAATTGACAAAATTATCTAAATCATTTAAACATAATGGATCTTAAACGATGTTCAGTGAAAACAAATAATTAAAGCCAAACAAAAAATAAGGGAAGAAGACAGCCGAAGGTGAGAAAAGCCAGCTACCCCAGGTACTTGGTCACGATAATTACAGTATAAACACTGCCACAGGCGATAACGGTCATTTAGAGTCGTAGTAAACCCTAATTACTGTATGTACAAGTGCAATGAGCATTTTACGTTTTTAAACAGATTGTTTAATGCATTAATAAATAAGATTAGAAATATTCGAAAATATACATCCGAGTAACCGAGTACCGGTTTTAGTATTCGATACTCGGACGTTCGATCGAGTACCCAGTTAACCGGGTACTCGTTGACATCCCTAGTATTTTGGTTTTATTAATCATAAGGGTTTAAATTACATACAAATTCATCATAAATAAACATTTTAACAGCAAAATTTTTTTCTCAAAAATGCAGCTCATATTGCTTTAAATGTTATCTGATAGGTTTATTATCTTTTACTGTAAACGTATTACATTTAGCGGTGTATTCTATTTAGCGATATTGGCGGAAAGCAGAGTCTGCTAATTCAAGTACATCACTAAATGTCTTGTATATTAGCATTTATAACTAGTACATTCAGACAGCGCTAAATCAAATTTACGCTAACTTGTTGAAAATTGAATTTCCACCAAATATCGTACACGTGAAATGTAATACATTTACAGCATTTTATCCAATAAGGTGTACTTTAATGTTTCATGGTTGCCTGACCATTTCTTTTGTGTACTCACACTGTATCGAGAGTCTCAGCGGACTGCAAGTTCTTGCATCCACTGCTCTAAGCACATTAGCTATGGGTAAGCCCATCTTCCCATTTCAGAGCACTACATACCGATTTTGAGGCATTTTGTTATTCGCTTGGCAAATGGAGTAAGTTTGATGTTGTACATGTTAACTTCATTACCTGTATAAGGTAAACCAATTATGGCTTTGTTTTTCTTGAGAAAAAGATTTTTAAAGATTTTTCCTATGTATCCCTATGTTCAATTTTGATCCCCAGTTGTGCCCCCATCCTACCCCAAAGGGGTCATCATTTGAACAAACTTGAATCTACACTACCAGAGGATGCTTCCATAAAACTATGACCAATCATGGCTTTGCTGTTCTTAAGAAGAAGATTTTTAAAGATTTTTCTTAAGTATTCCTTTGTTAAAATTTAATACCCCACTGTGGCACCACCCTACCCCCAAGGTATATGATTTAAAGAAACTTGAATCTACACTACATGAGGATGCTTCAACTTGAGTTTCATCTTTTCTGGAGCAGTGGTTCTTGAGAAGATTTTTTAAAAAAAAAAAGAGGCACATAAGCCACATCGCTCACCTGAGCACTGTTGCTATAGCAAAAAAGCAGAAATTAGTTTATCATTGAAAAGTTTAAACCCAAAAGTAGTCCTAACCATTCACTTAAAGGGCAGAGGGTATGATTTGCACAAACTTGAACCTAAACTACCTAAGAATGCTTACATATAAATGATCAATCATGGGTTTGTAATTCATTGAGAAGACGATTTTAAAGAATTTTGCTATATATTTCTATGTAAAACTTTGATTGGCCATTGTGGCCCCACCCAACCACCCGGGGGTCATGATCTGAACAAACTTAAATCTATACTACCTGAGGATGCTTCCATATAAATATTACCAATCATGACTTTGCTATTCTTAAAAAGAAGATTTTTAAAGAATTTTCCTACCCATACTAGCTGCAGAACTGTAGCTCTCCGAAAAATTATTTTGACAGACGGGAGAGCTACAGTGCCACCCACTGAAAAAACTGTATATTTATTGCACACAAAAAGTTGCACTTGGTTATGGATTAATTCTTTCAAATTTTTACCTCAACTGCATAAAATTTGGATTTCGACAAATTCTGTACTTCTCTATCAAGTACTTTTGTAGTTGACATCTACACATGGCGCAATAATCCGAATTATCTTGCAAACCAAAATGGCAGTATAAATAGACAAAATTTTCGATGATCTCGTGTTCAGGGCCAGGAGGGCTATTAACCCTTATCATGCTTATCGCGACATTTGCCGCGATCGGCAACTTTACGTTTCAGTGCTGGTCGCGGCATAAGTCGTTTTTGAATATCGGAAATTCCTATTCCTATTTTAAGAATAAAAAAACCCTTGTACAAACTATTTTTGTGTTGGTATTTCATCATATCCGTTTTACACACCGATACTCTGTTTATAAACCCTGATTTCATTGGTTGAAAGTACAAAAGCTCATCAAGAAGACGCAGGTTGTTTAACACCTCAGTCACAAAAATGGTGGAATGTATCGACACTGACGATTTATTCCTAAACAACGCAAAATAACCGCATTTATTTTAAATTATCTTGGTAATTTGGAAAAGAAATTGCTTTTGAGTGCTTTGAGTATGTTCGTTTTATTAATATCAACTAATTTATACCGGAGATGTAGATATATTAGTTGGATGAAGTTGGTGTTGTGCAGACGACGATATACACGAGAACTGGGACGTTGTGGACACGTCTCCGGAATAAAACGTGCGAATTTGAGTTCTTTGTTCTTGTTTAAGTATTTTCTTTTTACAATTATTCACACCATTGAAATAAATAAACATAAATAACTGAATATTTTCTCTAGTTTCTTGGTTAATGAGGTTTACCTGACGTACCTGTCTTACCTGAGCGTACCTGTATCACAGTAGATATACTTATAGGAAAAGGTGATGAAATATCATCACATCAAAACTGTTTTTGATTGAAAGAAATCGTATTTGTTTTAAAAGAATGAAATTTTAGTGTAGTTTTGTGTAGAATGCACATGCATTACCTTTTCTTACCTGTAACTTACACACATTTGTGCTGTTCAAGCTATAAAAATTATATAAGGATTATGGATGTATCTTAAAAAATAAAAATTCTACTGTGATTTAAAGACACCAATATTTGAAAAATGATTTTATTGTTTTATGCAGCACCCAGTTATAATATTATACAAATATTATAAAGCATGATAAGGGTTAACAACAATTATGTGGAATGTTTTGTTGTGGAAACAGTGAAAAAATATGTTAGGAACACACGGTTAGTAATATTTTGAGATGATAGATTTAAAAACATTGAGAAATAAATCGATAAACAGCGCACTTTTTTGTGCGCAATAAATATACAGTTTTTTCAATGGGTGGCACTGTAGCTCTCCAGTCTGTCAAAATACTTTTTCGGAGAGCTACAGTTCTGCAGCTATACCCATACCAAAATAAGGTACAGATTAGGCATACCTATCTTGGGTAAAAATAGGCACAAAAAAGTATACTTAAAGTATGCAAGTTTGGAACCACTTGTACAAGTATAGGTAGCAAATTGGTACACAACAGGCATCTATTCATTAAATTTATTTTTGCCTTGCCTTGATGTTATAGCAATATGAGAGGCATTTTGTAAAATTTTATTTTGCTGTTAAAAAAATGTGTTATTATGGTAAATTTGTATGTAGCAAACCTTTATGATCAATTAGACTAAAATAAAGCAGAAGAAAGACTTCTGTATAATACAATGCAATATACAGTTTTATATAAGAAATCGTTATTGTACAGTACCGTAATAATGTAATTTTGATTCAATCAAAGCTAATTAATAATGTAATTTTGATTCAATCAAAGCTTATTAATAGATCTTCCATTGCAAATATGAACAACAGAAGTTTTTTAACTTTATTTTTTCTGTCATTGCTATAGTTATTTACAATTTTGCAAGAAAAAAAATTCTGAAATCAAAGTTGCAACCTCTCAACTTACCATTTGTGCCAACACCCTGTGAGAAGGGTATTCCCACAGGATGGATTGACTGCTGATCATCCTGAGGACCCCACCTACTCTTCTTTTTCTTCCTCAATTTAAATCCGGAAGCAGATTTACCTGAAAAAAAGCAAATATAGCTGTTGAGGCCAAAGTTCAACAGTCACCTGAGTAAAATACAACAAGAGGCCCAGGGGCCACATCGCTCACCTGAGCACTGGCTAGGTAAAAGTAAAAATCAGTTTAGTATTAAAAAGTTTTAAATATAAAAGTGGGTTCAGGGGGGAGTGGTATTTGAACAAACTTTCTGTAAAAACACATATTTTCGTGGGGTTAAATTTTCGTGGTTTGAGTTCGTGAGGATTTCAATTCGTGGATGAAGAATTGTTGAATAGTTATGTATGTAACATTTTATATTTCATGGTGGACATGGATTCATGGGTCTCTTCATGCCTCGAAAACAACGAAAATTAAACCCCACGAAAATTTGTGATTTCACAGTAAATCTATACTTCCTACTGATGCTTTTAAATTACTTTGATACATAAAGGTTTTGCTGTTTATAAGATGAAATTTTATTTTGATATAACCTTTATATTCCTTTGTATAACTAGGACCCACTTTAATGGCTCCTCTGTTCTGCTGGTTGGTCATGATTTGAACAAATTTAAAAACCCACTTTAATGGCTCCTCTGTTCTGCTGGTTGGTCATGATTTGAACAAATTTAATTCTACATTACATGTACCTTTTTTGATGCTTTTGAAATTGAAATCAGAAAGATGCTCTTTGTTCTTGTGAAGAATTTCAATGATTTTTCTTATGTATTGTAAAAAAAAATAACTTTTTTAAGGTAAATTTCTGATGTATAAAACACTAAAAATCCATGAGCTTCCGGGGCCTTCGCCCCCTGGGCCCAGGACCCAGTGGGGGCTTCAAGGTGGCTCCCAGACCCCTTGCCTTCTTTAATACAGTAAATATTTTGCTAGCTACACCACTGCAGGCCCCAAACTTCCCATGGGGACATGATTTGAAAAAAAATCAAAAGCCTGAAAGGTTTCAATGGCATCGAACATGAAAAATAATTTCTTAAGATCTTTTTGAATTTGATATAACAATAAGTCAACTAAGTGACTCAGGTCACTAATAAACAAAGTGGCTCCATGGGCCACATTGCTCACCTGAGCAGATGGGCTAGTTAAAAAACACAAATCAGCTCAATATTTGAAAAGTTTACTTCCGCTCAGGTGAGCTAAAAATTGTAGTTTTTAACAAATGTCACAATTACATCTTCAGGTCATACGCCAAGGTCCGAATAAAGCAGGGTTCAAATTGACTAGACACTGTCAAACAATCACTCTTTTCAGTTCGTTGAAGAACTATGAAGGATTTAAAGATTTTTTTTTACAATATTATTCTCAATTGTCAATGTCTAAGCATTGTTTTCATGCATCTAAACTACAACTATGACTCTGCTCCATGGCTTCAATCGAATTATGATCAGGCGTGGTATTGCAAATTGGAGGAAATGGCGAAACACAGTAATAACTCCAGCTTTTATGATAAAATGTTTAAATAATTGGTTTTAAGATTGGAAAGGTAATGTTGAGATTATAACCAAGATTCAATCTTTTCAATCTTCTAGTATTCTTATTTATGCTTTGATTATGTTACAGCCTATTGGATTGTTTCTGTTGCATTGCTATCCTTCCGAATTGTTATTGACATGTCATTCGATGCATCCGTTCTTTAAAAATTGATCCGCAACATTTATCATGTTTTTCTTGACAGAAATAAGCAAAGTATCTTTGTTTTGTAAAAGAATTAATTTTATTTAAAATTGATGCAATTAAAATTTCAAGATTTCATTAATTGTGAACATTTTCAAAGAAACTGATGTATTGCTGTTGTTATTTTCTTTTGCAGATGCATCAACTGACACATTCGGTCATGTAAATTTTGGTAGAGATTTCAATCGGATGCCAGCTAGATGAATTTCAAGCTCTAGACCTCGATGCCATAAAAACTAGAAAACTGACCAGTCAGCAAGGGCCCCGATGAGGGGTATGAATATAAGGGTGCAGCTCATGGAAGGAGGATTTTACTTTGATTACATTTTTTTAAAATATATGAAGAATATCAGCAACTACTGTATTTTTAAAATTTCAAGAGAATTCCTGAATGTCCAAAAACCTGTAAATAGTAACCTTGTATTTACATAAAACAGGGAAAATCTCATGTCTATATAAAAACTCAATTAAATGTGTATTTAAAAAAGATTTAAGCAGGTGTTTTCTAAAATGCAAGCTTTCACTGAATGCAAATATCACCCACGGTTGACCTCAACTTCAAAACGAACATCAGTTGCAGACAAAGGTGTTCATTAATATTCATGTGACAGATAAAGATAAGCCTCTAAATTTTCTGCAGCAAGCTAGATAATTAATCCCAGGGGATTAATTGTACTGCTCTTTGTCCTTTTCTTCTAAATTTACAATAAAAACTTTTTTCAGCAATGACAGAATGGGGTTATTATCTCATTACCTGTTAAAATTAACAACATTGAGGCAGCAAAAAAAAAAAAAAAAAAAAAAAAACATAAATAAGTAATAAAGAAAAATTAAATGATAATAATAAAAAAGGATATCTTAATTTATATCTTGTTTTTAGAATTCAATAAAATCATAACCAAAATAAAGTATGAACATTATTAAAATCCATTATTTCAGAGAATGTACACATCATTCAAAATGGACATTAACTTCAAAACAAACTTCATTTGCAGACAGAGGCAGTATAGTAATTAATCTCAATGTGACAGATAAAGATAATGCTAAGGATTTTCTTCAAGTGGTTAATTAATCCCAAAGGACAAACTGCACAGCCTTCATAGTTTACAATGGGAACATTCTCAGGAGTTATCTCTCTTTTCCCATTCATTCTTATGCATAGTTAAGGAATCTACCCCACCACCCCAGCTCCAAACCAGAAGACAGAGAGAACCAAACTTAGCATCAAATATGTCTTTCTGCCTATTGAACTACCATACCAAATTTGAACTTAATTGGGCAACCATAAAAAAAGTTATTAGAAAAAAACAGAAAATTTGTGGACGGAAGAATGACAGATGGACAGACAGACAGCTAGACAGACAGACGGAGAGACAGAGTGATTACTGTAGGGCACCCGCAAATCCTGGCGGGGCCCTAATGAATCTATTCAACTCTGGAATGCTTACATATAGATATCTAACCAACCATGACTTTGTTGTTCTTGAGATTTTCAAAGATTTTCCTGTGTATTCCTATGTAAAAATTTGCTTGCCCACGAATGTGGCCCAATCATACCCACGAGGGTCATGATTTGAATCTACACTATCTTAGGATGCTTCCATAGGAATATAACTATTAATCAATAATCATGGCTTTGCTGCTCATGAGAAGGAGAATTTTCCTATGTTTTCCTTTGTAAAACTTCAATCCTCCATTGTGACCCCACCAAATGACAGGGAAGTATAATTTGAACAATGCCTTATTGCCTCAGGTGAGGTTAAAAAAAAGTCAATAGTTTCTTTCATCCTGAGCTAAATGCAAAGCATGACAGAATGACAGTTGGGATGACAAAGGGAAAGTTTAGGATGGAAAGATGTAACACAGACATGACAAACTCTATATACCCCAGCCACATTCATTGCAGGGAACATTGTATTAAAAAAATTCCTGAACTCATATTCAAGTGGGAATGGGGAAGTACTGATAAGTCCCTGGCTGGGTACCCCTAACACTGACATGTTATTGACATTTATATATATCACTGAAAAGAATAAGTAAAATATTTCTTGCTTTTATCAATTTTTTCAGAGTTTATCAAATAAATGTTCCAATTTTTAACACAAGGTGTTCAGTAAAAAATAATAGACATGATGTCTCAATAATTTCTGAACAGCCCTTGAAAACTATTGAAAAATAGTGATTACTGAAATTTTAACTCAGATGATGCTTTACAAAAATATTGATTAAAATTTATTTTAGGAAGGTTTTGGGGAACATTTTCATCTCTGTAACTAGTGAAAGATGTAGTGCAAGTATAGGATTACTTTAAATGCATAAAGCAAGATTAATAACTGATTAAATTAAAACTAGAGTGTTCTTAGGTATGCATGTATCACCTGCTTTTAGTTTCTTTAAAGATGTAACTATAAATCTAAGAGTAGTCACTAGTCAGCCATTTATATGCTACTAGCATAAATAGTATTTCATGCAAAAAAAAAATCTAGCATGATAGTTCATAAATGCACTAAACATCCACACATAGTATAAGACTGTGATAGAGTTTGTCAATCAAAATAATAATATGATTCCCAACCCTTCATTACAATAATCTGTGTCTCAGTTAAACCCTGTCCGTAGGACAATATCAGTTTAACCCAATGATAGTTCATAAATGCACAACTTGAAAAACATCCACAAATAGTACAAGACTGTGATAGAGTCTGTCAATAAAAAAATATGATTCCTAACCCTCAAATGAATAATAAAGTTGAAATCATTAATAATAATTATTTATCATTTTACAAGTGTTAAATAAATACGTTTCAAGTCTTTACATTAATTGTCATTCTTCACGATCCGTTGTGGGATCCCAATCCTGATGTATTTTCATAATACAGTGGATCCCGCTTAATCCAATAGTAAATTTGTCATCCTTCTCTTATCTGTATAGTCAAATATTCGAATAGCCGATTGCTCCATTTCAAGTCCAAACAAAGATGTATAGAGATACATGTATTGATAATACATCGTAGCAAATTTCAAACTTGCACTTTCGTTTCGTTTGATTACTTTACCTGGCGATTCTCCTAAATTAAAATGTTATTTAACTTAGTTATTAATTTAATGTGATAACATTTTTCTAATAAAATGACTTATAAAAATTGTTTTTTAATAGTTATTGCCATCTTTAATAAGCACATGTTTACATTCCTTCTTCGATGGCCGCCATTTTGGAAACGGAAGTAGACTAAATGCCTGACTTTATTCCGTAATTTATTTTTCCCCGGATAAATGGTACCGTAATATTAAACGAAAATAATTAATAGTTTTGTTTTATTTGTTTCTTTAAT